TATATATTAATAAGTTCACCAATATGCCCACCTAAAATTATTAAAAACTTAAAGTTTGGTAGTGTTTAGTATTCTTTAAAATAAATAAATTATGATTTTATACTAAAGAATTATTCATACTAAACAATTTTAATGTTATTTCTTTAAACTGAATCAACTGCAGCAAAAGAAGCAGCAAATCAGTGGAAACACTAAGCTGATCTACTGATTAAATCTCATCCACCCTCTTAACCATTCTGAATATATTTTCTTCTATCTGGGTGTCACTCAGAATTACAGCCTATTGGAGCATAAGTTAATTTCCTCAAAATTAAGTGAGAAGGTCAAGTATTATTTGCATGAAAGGCCTTAGCAGATTAATTGATGCAATAAACCAGGAAGTAAAAGCAGACACTGTCTTCTCAGAAAGATTGAACATACTTTCACCTTTCATACTTGCTTTGGTTTTATTTATTTTAATTCAGTAAAACAAGCTAAACCTGCCTCTTTTTTAAAAAAAGAGTGATTTAAGAATGTTATCAGTAAGTGAATAAAGGTTGAGAAAACTAGTTTACTTCTCCTAATTTATGAAAAACCTGTAGAAACAGGCAACTGTTTTTAACCAAAGTATTTATAAAATGTCTGGGTGGTGTATAAGATTTTATACAAAGTTAATTAGATGTAAATAATTTCTATTAAAAATTATATAAGTATGCCTATTCTTGGCCAGATATTGCTTTTTTCTACAATAAGTTTATTAGTAGTTCTTAGGTATACAGTACAGTTACATTCATCATTGAAATCTTGTACCTTTACATGACAGATCTTGGTTCTTATTTTTTCCGTATACCTCTGCCCTCCCTTCACCCCCTCCACTCTTCCCTATTTATAAAGACTTTGTTTTCATTTTTTCCTTTTCTAATATTTTTCCCCTTCTTTCCTTTCCCCTGCCCTTCCCACTTCCCCTACTCCTTTAGCCCTTTTCTTCCTATTTCACATCATCGATTATACAAATTGAACCTTATTTACACTTTTAATTTTTCACACCAGAAAAACTATTCAGAATTTCCACATATGTGTCCTATTTATTTCACTGTGTGCCTCAGTATGAACCCAGGCAGCTACAAATGTCTCTAGTTTGTCACTCTTTATGGCTGCATAGTACTCTATTTTATAGAGAAACCACATCTTTATCTAGTCTCCAGTTGTTGGGCAATTCGGCTGTTTTCTTGGCCAGAGATTGTGCTAGATATACGTTACCTCATTTCATTCTTATATGAACTCATGAGATTTTTATCATTGTTTTAGAGCTGAGGAAATTAATATTCAGGAAGTAAAGTATTTTTCCAAATGAGTCAGAGTGAATGACAAGACTCAAATTTGAATCTATATCCTCTAAGTCCAACCTAACATATTTTCATCTATGCCAAGTTCATCTATGCCAGGTTAATGTACTGGACTAGAAAATTCTTTGTTGTGAGGGTCTGTTTTATGCCGTAGAGGATGTATAGCGGCATTTCTGGTGTCTATCAATTAAATGATAGTAATATCACTCTGTCTCTGGACATTGCATAACGTCCTCTGAGGGACAGAAGTAGCCCCAGTTAAGAACTACTTCTCTGTATTATGAGACCTTGCCTCCAAATTCTAATATAAAATTAATTAATTCAATTAAATAGCATATATAGAGCACAATTGATTAAGCAACTATAAAATACATATAGAGAAGAGTAAATTCATATATAGGATGGAGGGTCAAATGATCTAATGTAAGGCATTGAGTGATACCTGATCATGAAGACAAAAAGGAATGAGGCAAAGTAGCACAAAACTTGACATAAATGGAAAAGTACCAGTTGGAGGAATGAGTTTAATGCATGCATGACATTACAGTTGAGAGAGAGAGAGTTCCACAGACAAATTGAAGAGACGAGTAAGCAGATAAGTTGAAGAAATAATAAATATTTGCAAGTAAAATATCTAAGTATAAGTAGGTCATAAGCCTAACAGGTTCCAAGCTGAAGAAGTACAGAGAGTCAGGGACTAGGACGATAAGGCCAAAGACATGAGAAGTAGACTAGCAGATATTGAAACTAAGACAAAAACCATTACAGAAAAGGAAATTGTAGGCAAGCATTGTGGCACAGTTCCTGTAATACAAGCACTGTAAGAAGCTGAGGCAAGAGTATCACAAGTTCAAGCTCAACCTGGACAGCTTAGGAATTTAGCAAAGGCCTGTCTCAAAATTAGAAAATTAAAAAAGATAGCAATATAGTTGAATGTGAAGGTCCTCAGTTCAATCCCGACTGCAAAAAAAAAAAAAAAATCTATTATACGTTATTTATTGGAGTAAAGTAGTGCCCATTGAAGGGCATATTTCTACATTGACCTTCTATTGAAATTAATGTGATGAGCAGCATAGCATAGGAGATAATGTATAGTCTTATTTGATATGAATTATAAATATAATATGAAATACATTATATTACCTTCATAATAAGTAGAAATTGTTATCATCCTATGTGAATATTGTGTGAGCCACACTATTAATTACGTGTTTGAACTTCTAAGAGTGATTCAGTGATTCTTCTGCTATTTTATGATTTATTTATAATGTAACAAAACATATTCCCATATAATTTAAGTACTCTTAAATTATAATGCTGCTGGTATGCCAGGAAATGTATCTGAAGATAAGCCACATTGGAAAGAGGTCAAATGTGACAAAACTCCCTGAAGAAAGCTAAACATTGGGCCTTAGGTGTCATCTAGAGAAGAAAGAGCATTCTCGGAGTGAAAACAGCACTGAATCCAAAAAAATGGGCTTCCATGGTTACAGATTTACATATACTGGGAACATACTCTCCTTACTTCACCTTTATTCCTATAGAAAATTTTCTTAAGAATTGTGTTTTTATTCCCTCAAGCTCTAAAGGAATATGTCCTTCTCATAAAATAAAAATTGGCCAGTAGAAGTAGAGTATTAGCATATTGACAGTGGGAACTAAATCCCAAAATGAAACTGGAAAGGTAGCCAATGATTGTAAGTTCTAAGGAAGAAAGAGTAAGAGATACTAACAAAGAGAAAGCATCAAAATTTAAATGTGAAGCACAAAGTTTTCTGAGAAAGTAGTATTTCTGCTGTGCCTTACTGGATCAGGAGGAGTTCGTCAGATCACCTCAAATGGAATAGCAATCCAAACAAATGCTTTAACCAGGAAAAAAGGCTGCTGTACTTGAGAAGCTGATACCTGGCTGACAGGTAGTGCATAGAAAGGCCATATAAGGTGGGGCTCTGTTTTCCAGGGCAAGTATACAGGAGTGACCAAGCTCAGGGAGGAAGATGGTGTTCTGGCTCTGCTGGAGCCATGAGGTTGATTTCTTACCTCTCTGTTTCAATTTTTTCATCAAATTAAAAAAATATTAATAGAACTTCTCAAACAGGTTGTTCTCAGATTTAGCAAGTTAAAATATGTCATTTTTTTATTTTTAAAGGGTTTTTTTTTTTTTTTTTTTTTTTTGTCGTGTGAT